TCTCCATAATTAGATCCAGCACCTTATCTGGATCCGATTGGACGGTTTTATCGTGGCATTTGACCTCTGCCCTAACCGTCTCTCCTATACTGCCCATCAGCAGTCTTAATCTTTCCTCTGGTGACATGTTTCTCGAGGCCCAGGCCGCTTTGACCTCCTCACTGAACCTGTTGGTTAAAGTTGGATCACCGTCCCCGTAAAATTTGTTAATGTGGGACTCTCTGGGCAGGACCACAATATGGGTCTGCTTCTCGTCCAGAGTAGACATTTTATTCCTTTAGTAAAAAAAAAGAGTTCTTTCTTACCGTGTGTGTATGAAAAAATTTTCCTCGTTCCTCAATTTTCACTGTTCCTGAATGTCCGAATTCACACACACACTAAACACAGTTATGAACTAGGTTGACTATGGGTGCCTCAAGCGGCAAGTCTCGTTGAATTCATCCTGTCCGACGACGCCAATTGTAACGAGCGAACAGTTACCCTGCTCGCAACGCCACATGTTACGAGATTATTTGCCTGTAGTGCCAAATGTAACGAGTTTAACCACTCATTCTACACAACATCGACCACAGTAGAAATACTCGAAGATGCAGGTTCGCTATTGATCCTTTTATTACATGAATCAAGAAATGCTTCAAAATAACACAATGAATCAACAGGAATGCTTCACAATAATAGTCTGAATCAACTGACCCCTAACAGTCCTCACTAGGCTTCATATAACTGAATCCACATGTCTATCGTCCTTCTTAACCCAAGACGGCTAACCCGTTCTATAACCAACTGTCACACAGACTGACTGATCTAAAGCGAGCGATCGAAAGAGAGAGAGCTCCGCCGTCCCCTCCTATTTATCCCTTGTATTCGTACTCGTATTCGTACTTGTATTCATCCGTAATCGATATTTGTAATCGATGTCTCCGACTACTAGTTGCGCAGTTCTAACGTACAGCCCGATTAATAAAACATCTGCATCCTATCACTCAAAGTTGACAGGCCGTCTGAATCCCCTCGTACCGTTTCCCAAAATAGCACGCGTTGGCTTTGAGATTGTTATCAGTCCGATTTAATAAGCCACCTGCTATCAGTTGCATCAGACTGTAATACTGCGTCGCGGCTTATCGTTCGTTATCAGTTGCATCAGATTGTAACTAGTAGTTAGGCCTACCCTAGTTACATATATATATATATATATATATATATATATATATATATATATATATATATATATATATATATATATATATATATATATATACTAGCCGGCCAGGCCCTGCACTGGCCTCTGTGAAAAAACCTATCTGTAAAGGACCATGACATGTGTGTTTAGTAATCAGCATATACCCGGCATTGCCCACCCTAACTACAACCAATCAAAACCAAAACACACAAAAAGAAACGCAAATATAGCACAAACACAAAGAAAACACAAAAAGAAACGCAAACAAAAGAGCAAACGAAAACAAACCAAATCCAAACCCAACCACAAACGCAAACCCAACACAAAAAAAAGAGAAAATGCAAACATTAACGCAAAGTGCTCACAGTCTAGCCCAGGGTGCCAAATTGCACCATGCTGGGGCGTCAGTGGAACCGCCTGTTTCAGCTTAGTAAACGACTATAGTACCCCAATTTATTCATAGTCGTTTGCACTCACTTAAACGAATGTAGGCTTCATAGCGAACACGGAATGGCCGGGGCGCTAAATAGCACCCTGTCGGGGCGCCGGAGGACGCGCGGATTTGATTCACTTAAAGACTATAGTAACCTTTCCTTTCCGAAGAGCCTGTTACGTCGGACTCCCAAGTCCCCTACATAATAGCGTGGGGGAGGAGAGGTGCGAGACTGCCGGGAACCAAAAAGGGTTTGCTCTCGACCCTAACCAGATATTTTGACTTTAAGCTGCGGCCTTCGCGTGGCTTCGGAAGAGTGCCACTAGTCGGACCAAGCTCATGACCCCCCTAATGGGTGCGGAATGGCTAGTGGTAGCCAACAGCAGCTAGAGGTTTTTGATCTGGCCGAACGCCCCCCACGATCAAGCTGGGTACCAGGCGGTAGGACAACGTCCCGCGTCTGGTGGATGGGGAAGGAAAGCCCGGTGAGAGCCGACGGAATTAGCGACCGATGTGTAGGAAACTCTCGTGGTCGGGGTTTGCTACACTAAGGCCTGCCTGGCTATTGGGAGTCCAACTCCTGAGCCGGTTTCCGTATAAGGAAGGAAGGAAGTCACCTTTCCTATCCATAGTCTGTCGCACTTTTTAAAACCAAAGTATGCACCATAGCACTCATAAGATAGCCCAGGGCGCCAAATTGAATACTGTCGGGGCGCCGGCGGACGCGCCTGTTTCAATTTAGTGAACAATTACAATACCCAAAGCTTATCTGCAAACGGAAAGACGTCATAGACTCTATGATAGAGGACATCTGTTATTGATTTTTTAAAAAATATTTGCGGTGCAAAGCAACGTCATGTGATGGAAACTTTGAAGCTATAAAACATAAACATAGCTCTTAAATAGTTTTTTCGGTGTTGTCTTTGATTAAAAATAATAACAAGAAAACAGTACGTTCTGTGTATAAAATAAATAAAAGGCAGTACTTAAAATGCCTACCACATTTCACTTGATCAATCAACGCTAATTATGTAATTTTTTTCCCCAACACCAAAACAAAGTAATAAAAGGTACGTTTTATTTTTTTCCTCCCGATGTACTTTTTTATAAGGGGAAATAATTGTGTTTTCCTAATTTATCAAGGGACGTAAGGAGTACTAAAGAACTAAATGTAAATAATTAAAGATTTTGTGAAAGGTGATACATTTTAAAAAATTGTGTTTGATAAACATGCCAACAATTAATCACTATAAGTTTGAAAAATGAACATTGTTTTACACCTTCAATATTAATTTTTTAAATCATGAATTTAGACTTTGAAACCCTCGGTTTGCCCGTCCGCCCGCCACAGAATTGAACTTTATACATTAGGTATTTATACACACATACTGCGTATCATTACTTCGATACGGTGTAAAACACATTTATAATATACTCAAAAACACAAAACAATATATACAACCAAAAACAAGTAACGCAACACTTCTTGTTTTTTAATGCTTGTTAAAAAACAATTTGGCACACTGGCAAACGGATTATTAAAGAAAAGCGAACAGCATTACGGGAAATGATCACTCTCTTGATATTAATATAGTTATCTATGGGCCTTCACATAGAATTGTGATTTCAAATTCAATAAGATCAATCATTTCTTTTTGTATTTGTTAATATAGACACGTATTACAATACGTTTTAAAAATCTATAATCAAAATTAAATATTTTATTATTGTAAATGCTAAAATTTCAAAGCATAAAGAAAGTTTGTAAAAGCGGAGATGATATAAAAACGCGCCTTTCGAATGTTGAAGATGAGTCTAGTAGACCGGTCGGCAACCTTTCAAAACCGAAGAGCCAAAAGTTAAGTTATGAAATTTCCCAATTTTCAAAGAGCCACACACATTTTTATTTCAACATTTGGTATTTGAATAAGATTAGGTAAATAAATTTAAAATAAATAGGTTTAGACTCCTAAGTGTAGTATAACTCAATAACTACGTGACTCGGGTCAAATTAATGCATGCTGACATATAAAGAAATGCAATCTCAATAGAATAACATTCACTATTGAACGATATTCGGAAAAAAAAGTGTTAACATCGGTAGTGGAAAGCTTGGGACCATTGCCACGGGGCTGACCCCAGCATAGTTGTGGGGTTGGGCCTAGTGCCCAAGCAGCTGTCAGTATACGTGTTTTTATCTTGTTTGTAGGTGGGGGGGGGGGGGTTACAGTACAACATTTGTTATGAGTTTTGAAAATGAAATAATATAATTATTATTATTTGTGCATGGAACTGGAGGGCTGCATTTTAACATTAAAAGAGCCGCAGCTTGCCGACCCCTGGTCTAGTTCTCTAGTAGCAATCGAGGGAATATTTCAATTAACAGCATAAGAATATTGTATTTCTCAGCTACATTAATTGTTTCAGCTCTAATATTGTTCTAGCCTTTCAGAAATTAACATTTCTCAATCAGCAACTCCTTTTTTGTTCTTTGTATTGCTCACACGCCTTTATACTGGTCATTGCAAAAACAATATTCAGTGAGTTTACTTGTTTCAAAAGCTATTATTCTGATTGTAAAAAACAACTAGCCTATAGTTTTTCTATTTCTGAATTTGGTCATTCATCTTTCGGAGGCACCTTTACTCTTATCTGGTGTTGTTCTATTGTTTTAAGCAAATTTACCCGAGATATTTAAGTATATGTTTGTTAAGTACATCTGTACATATTTTCTATGGGGCACACCTTACGTAAACAATTACCCTACTTCTCAAGACTGATCTTAAAAACCAAAAACAATAGGCCTCCCATATAAAAGATGGATGGCTGAATTGAGCCTGATAACTCAAGCAAATGCTACACTTGTGAATTAGATTGATGTGTGGATGGTTGACTGTCCATATCCAGCAAGAATAACACAAACAGCTGATGTACAGGCGCTAGCATGGGTTGACATTGTGACGAAAAGTGGCTCGCATGCCTGTCGAACATCTAGGTTCAGAGACGTAAGACAAGAAGTTTAGACATTAAAAATTTATTATTTAGGCTACATAATATCACTTTTAAATTCGTAGTTTCAGTAATGTATTTGGCTTTATTTTGCCAAAATTGTTTTAAATGTTTTTTAATCAATCTCCAATAATTAACTTATTAAGGCACCACTATCCTTAAAGTGGTCGGAGGCGGAGATTTAAATAAACAAAAGATGGGTCTAATAAAAAATGAGATTTTAAGATGGGTCTAAATTTCTCATATTTGTTATCAGTCAAAATATATCATGTTTAGGGGATTGATTATTATATGCTATTGATGACTGCTAACTAATCACAATAATATAAGGGGGTGATAAACACATTGCCACATAGAATTATTTTAAAAAATCACTGCTTGAATTTTTAAGCTTTTATTACATTACAATACAAAAATAGATTACATTTAAAACAATATCTTTCATCAAATGAAATTTCATGAATTGGCTGAATCGGAAACACAATGAGACAGACAAACCCACCAGACAGACAAACCCATGAGACAGACAGACAACCAAACCCATGAGACAGACAGACAGTCTGATTGAGTATACCCTAACTGGGCAGACCACTGTTGTTTCTTTATAAATGCCATGGTACACATATTAAAAAGCCATGGTATTGTTGATTATGAAGGATTATCCTCTCTCATTAGTCTGGCAGACACACAATGTTTCTGTCTGTAGAGCTACTGGTTAAGTAAAGCTGACAACATCTCAATCTGTGGACACAAAAACTGACATCTCAATCTGTGGACACAAAAACTGACATCTCAATCTGTGGACACAAAAACTGACATCTCAATCTGTGGACACAAAAACTGACATCTCAATCTGTGGACACAAACACTGACAACATCTCAATCTGTGGACACAAACACTGACAATATCTCAATCTGTGGACACAAAAACTGACATCTCAATCTGTGGACACAAAAACTGACATCTCAATCTGTGGACACAAACACTGACATCTCAATCTGTGGACACAAAAACTGACATCTCAATCTGTGGACACAAACACTGACAACATCTCAATCTGTGGACACAAAAACTGACAACATCTCAATCTGTGGGCACAAAAACTGACAATATCTCAATCTGTGGACACAAAAACTGACATCTCAATCTGTGGACACAAACACTGACAACATCTCAATCTGTGGACACAAAAACTGACATCTCAATCTGTGGACACAAAAACTGACATCTCAATCTGTGGACACAAAAACTGACAACATCTCAATCTGTGGACACAAAAACTGACATCTCAATCTGTGGACACAAAAACTGACAACATCTCAATCTGTGGACACAAAAACTGACAACATCTCAATCTGTAGACACAAAAACTGACATCTCAATCTGTGGACACAAAAACTGACATCTCAATCAGTGGACACAAAAACTGACATCTCAATCTGTGGACACAAACACTGACAACATCTCAATCTGTGGACACAAAAACTGACATCTCAATCTGTGGACACAAACACTGACAACATCTCAATCTGTGGACACAAACACTGACAATATCTCAATCTGTGGACACAAAAACTGACATCTCAATCTGTGGACACAAAAACTGACATCTCAATCTGTGGACACAAAAACTGACATCTCAATCTGTGGACACAAACACTGACAACATCTCAATCTGTGGACACAAAAACTGACAACATCTCAATCTGTGGGCACAAAAACTGACAATATCTCAATCTGTGGACACAAAAACTGACATCTCAATCTGTGGACACAAACACTGACAACATCTCAATCTGTGGACACAAAAACTGACATCTCAATCTGTGGACACAAAAACTGACATCTCAATCTGTGGACACAAACACTGACAACATCTCAATCTGTGGACACAAACACTGACATCTCAATATGTGGACACAAAAACTGACATCTCAATCTGTGGACACAAAAACTGACAACATCTCAATCTGTAGACACAAAAACTGACATCTCAATCTGTGGACACAAAAACTGACATCTCAATCTGTGGACACAAAAACTGACATCTCAATCTGTGGACACAAAAACTGACAACATCTCAATCTGTGGACACAAACACTGACAACATCTCAATCTGTGGATACAAAAACTGACAATATCTCAATCTGTGGACACAAAAACTGACATTTCAATCTGTGGACACAAACACTGACAATGATAGAGTGATACAACTTGTTTGATACATACAAATATAGTGTTAAAGATGTTAACTCATTTGCTACTAATGCGACATGATGTGATGGACATTACTTCCTCTTACCTATTGTGATTCTGTCACATTATTTTCATGCAAAAAGCCCTTATACGCTATTTACGCTTACTAAATACAGTACAAGAGTTTGCAATTTTTTTTCTTAAACAACCAGAAGTTTCTAGCATTTTTTACAATTAATGTATACTTAATTTACTAAGTCGAGTTCCAGAGACATTTTTACACTTGTTTTCCCGTAAAACGGTCGCTTCGGCATTATGGCAGTTTTCAAATTGTTTTAAAGAATCAAATAGTAAAAGAGATTTTATATTACATTAGATATTTCAGCTATCAAAATTAGCAATCAGTATCTATTGTAAAATCGTATTTTTTCTAGATATTACAAATGATACTGAAGCACTCTATCACATACTCTAACCTCATTGTCGCATCACTATATTCACTCTAACCGATAAATATTATTAGAAAAACATGTTAAATTGCTTACTTTCTTCAAAATAGGCCTTAGACATTTCTTTATTTAATAAGTATATTTTGTGCCTTTTTAATAATTAAACACACCATAGACTTATTTTTAAAACAATTTCAAAGAAAAGTTATTGGATGTTACCTCCCTTAGCTTAGGATCTGGGGAAATGGTTTTGAGATAGCTTTAGTAGCAAATGAGGTAATAACAAACCTCTCTTTCTTTCTCAGTTTCTTCTTGAACCAACTTATTCAGGGCAGCTTGCATATCTTCCTGATGGAAAAAAACAAAAACCCAATAGTTCAAATACAACTGATCTAATGGACATTCAAACATTCTTTTAAATTTGAAGTAGAAAATGCCAGTTCTCAAACCTTGACTGCGTCATCCTCCAGCGTGGCTAGCTGATCTTCTTGGTGACTCCTCCTCTCTCTGATGTCCTCAAGCTGTTTTTCAAGTTCTTTCAGTTTTTCTAGCAGCTCAGCTGGGGTTAAAGCATCCGTTTATTTGATCTAACCAGTCTATATTTAAATCATTGTATCAAACAAACTCCATTTATTTGATCTAACCAGTCTATATTTAAATCATTGCATCAAACCATCCATTTATTTGATCTAACCAGTCTATATTTAAATCATTGTATCAAACCATCCATTTATTTGATCTAACCAGTCTATATTTAAATCATTGTATCAAACCATCCATTTATTTGATCTAACCAGTCTATATTTAAATCATTGTATCAAACCATCCATTTATTTGATCTAACCAGTCTATATTTAAATCATTGTATCAAACCATCCATTTATTTTATCTAACCAGTCTATATTTAAATCATTGTATCAAACCATCCGTTTATTTGATCTAACCAGTCTATATTTAAATCATTGTATCAAACCATCCATTTATTTGATCTAACCAGTCTATATTTAAATCATTGTATCAAACCATCCGTTTATTTGATCTAACCAGTCTATATTTAAATCATTGTATCAAACCATCCGTTTATTTGATCTAACCAGTCTATATTTAAATCATTGTATCAAACCATCCGTTTATTTGATCTAACCAGTCTATATTTAAATCATTGTATCAAACCATCCGTTTATTTGATCTAACCAGTCTATATTTAAATCATTGTATCAAACAAACTCAGTTTATTTTATCTAGCCAGTCTATATTTAAATCATTGTATCAAACAAACTCAGTTTATTTTATCTAGCCAGTCTATATTTAAATCATTGTATCAAACCATCCATTTATTTGATCTAACCAGTCTATATTTAAATCATTGTATCAAACCATCCATTTATTTGATCTAACCAGTCTATATTTAAATCATTGTATCAAACCATCCATTTATTTGATCTAACCAGTCTATATTTAAATCATTGTATCAAACAAACTCAGTTTATTTTATCTAGCCAGTCTATATTTAAATCATTGCATCAAACAAACTCTGTTTATTTTATCTAGCCAGTCTATATTTAAATCATTGCATCAAACAAACTCAGTTTATTTTATCTAGCCAGTATTGTGGAACTGTGTGGTTGTGTGTAGAGCTCTCAAGTGCTAACCTGAAAGTCTCAAGTTCGGATCTCTGTCCGGAATTGAGACTGCAGGATATCCCTGAGTCCATTTAGCACTGGTGGTTACCTGACTCACATGAGAAGAAGTAAAGACTGCTTGGCATAATGCCAAGATCAATTAACTAGCTATGATAATTTGTTTGTACCAGTTTCATGGTCAGTCATGTTGTCCAGATCAAATAACTAGCTATCATAATTTGTTTGTACCAGTTTCATGGTCAGTCATGTTGTCCAGATCAAATAACTAGCTATCATTTGTTTGTACCAGTTTCATGGTCAGTCATGTTGTCCAGATCAAATAACTAGCTATCATAATTTGTTTGTACCAGTTTCATGGTCAGTCATGTTGTCCAGATCAAATAACTAGCTATCATAATTTGTTTGTACCAGTTTCATGGTCAGTCATGTTGTCCAGATCAAATAACTAGCTATCATAATTTGTTTGTACCAGTTTCATGGTCAGTCATGTTGTCCAGATCAAATAACTAGCTATCATTTGTTTGTACCAGTTTCATGGTCAGTCATGTTGTCCAGATCAAATAACTAGCTATCATAATTTGTTTGTACCAGTTTCATGGTCAGTCATGTTGTCCAGATCAAATAACTAGCTATCATAATTTGTTTGTACCAGTTTCATGGTCAGTCATGTTGTCCAGATCAATTAACTAGCTATCATAATTTGTTTGTACCAGTTTCATGGTCAGTCATGTTGTCCAGATCAATTAACTAGCTATCATAATTTGTTTGTACCAGTTTCATGGTCAGTCATGTTGTCCAGATCAAATAACTAGCTATCATTTGTTTGTACCAGTTTCATGGTCAGTCATGTTGTCCAGATCAAATAACTAGCTATCATAATTTGTTTGTACCAGTTTCATGGTCAGTCATGTTGTCCAGATCAAATAACTAGCTATCATAATTTGTTTGTACCAGTTTCATGGTCAGTCATGTTGTCCAGATCAAATAACTAGCTATGATAATTTGTTTGTACCAGTTTCATGGTCAGTCATGTTGTCCAGATCAAATAACTAGCTATCATAATTTGTTTGTACCAGTTTCATGGTCAGTCATGTTGTCCAGATCAAATAACTAGCTATCATTTGTTTGTACCAGTTTCATGGTCAGTCATGTTGTCCAGATCAAATAACTAGCTATGATAATTTGTTTGTACCAGTTTCATGGTCAGTCATGTTGTCCAGATCAAATAACTAGCTATGATAATTTGTTTGTACCAGTTTCATGGTCAGTCATGTTGTCCAGATCAAATAACTAGCTATCATTTGTTTGTACCAGTTTCATGGTCAGTCATGTTGTCCAGATCAAATAACTAGCTATGATAATTTGTTTGTACCAGTTTCATGGTCAGTCATGTTGTCCAGATCTAGTAACTAGCTATCATTTGTTTGTACCAGTTTCATGGTCAGTCATGTTGTCCAGATCTAGTAACTAGCTATCATTTGTTTGTACCAGTTTCATGGTCAGTCATGTTGTCCAGATCAAATAACTAGCTATCATTTGTTTGTACCAGTTTCATGGTCAGTCATGTTGTCCAGATCAATTAACTAGCTATCATAATTTGTTTGTACCAGTTTCATGGTCAGTCATGTTGTCCAGATCAAATAACTAGCTATCATTTGTTTGTACCAGTTTCATGGTCAGTCATGCTGTCCAGATCTAGTAACTAGCTATGATAATTTGTTTGTACCAGTTTCATGGTCAGTCATGTTGTCCAGATCTAGTAACTAGCTATCATAATTTGTTTGTACCAGTTTCATGGTCAGTCATGTTGTCCAGATCTAGTAACTAGCTATCATTTGTTTGTACCAGTTTCATGGTCAGTCATGTTGTCCAGATCTAGTAACTAGCTATCATTGTACCAGTTTCATGGTCAGTCATGCCGGTCCCTTCCAGCCTGTCTCCTGTGCCAGCCTTGGGTGTGTTGGGTCCTCTGGACATGTCCTCTTCACCACTGTCCATGATGTTCACATCCTTCTCATCATCATCATCTTCCTCAGAGGAACTTATATCCCCAAAAAAGGAAGCTGTTCAATAACAAGTTATCCATGTTATAAATATAGTAACAACTGGTATATTTACTATGTGCTGTATTTACTATATACTGATATGTACAGACTAACATTCCAACATTGACAATAAACTAACATACCAACATTGACAATAAACTAACATACCAACATTGACAACTAATGTACCAACATTGACAATAAACTAACGTACCAACATTGACAATAAACTAACATACCAACATTGACAATAAACTAACGTACCAACATTGACAATAAACTAACATACCAACATTGACAATAAACTAACGTACCAACATTGACAATAAACAAACATACCAACATTGACAATAAACTAACATACCAACATTGACATAAACTAACATACCAACATTGACAATAAACTAACATACCAACATTGACAACTAATGTACCAACATTGACAATAAACTAACATACCAACATTGACAATAAACTAACATACCAACATTGACAATAAACTAACATACCAACATTGACAATAAACTAACATACCAACATTGACAACTAATGTACCAACATTGACAATAAACTAACATACCAACATTGACAACTAATGTACCAACATTGACAATAAACTAACATACCAACATTGACAACTAACATACCAACATTGACAATAAACTAACATACCAACATTGACAATAAACTAACATACCAACATTGACAATAAACTAACATACCAACATTGACAACTAATGTACCAACATTGACAATAAACTAACATACCAACATTGACAACTAATGTACCAACATTGACAATAAACTAACATACCAACATTGACAACTAACATACCAACAATGACAACTAACATACCAACATTGACAATAAACTAACATACCAACATTGACAACTAATGTACCAACATTGACAATAAACTAACATACCAACATTGACAACTAACATACCAACAATGACAACTAACATACCAACATTGACAATAAACTAACATACCAACATTGACAACTAATGTACCAACATTGACAATAAACTAACATACCAACATTGACAACTAACATACCAACATCCATGGATGTTTGTGTCTCACTTCTCAGAAGATGTGTCTTAGAACCACCAGCTGCTGCAGTCTGCTCAAATATCAAAATAATGGTAAATCTAACTGGTGAAACTTTTACACCGGATGAAACTTTTACACCTGGTGAAACTTTTACACCTGGTGAAACTTTTACACCTGATGAAACTTTTACACCTGGTGAAACTTTTACACCTGATGAAACTTTTACACCTAATGAAACTTTTACACCTGATGAAACTTTTACACCTGATGAAACTTTTACACCTGGTGAAACTTTTACACCTGGTGAAACTTTTACACCTGATGAAACTTTTACACCTGATGAAACTTTTACACCTGATGAAACTTTTACACCTGATGAAACTTTTACACCTGATGAAACTTTTACACCTGATGAAACTTTTACACCTGATGAAACTTTTACACCTGATGAAACTTTTACACCTGATGAAACTTTTACACCTGATGAAACTTTTACACCTGATGAAACTTTTACACCTGATGAAACTTTTACACCTGATGAAATGTTTACACCTGAGCAACAATCAAAGACACACCTGTGAAGTCCCTGAGTCAGATAGAGACTTTTCATCATCTACAATAATCTCAAACTTTACATCAATAGCTTCAGAATCATAGCGGAAGAGACGCCTTACTTCCTTTTCTACTTCAGGTTGATCCATGTACTAAACAAAATATTTTTTGTAAGATAATCTAAACAAACGGTAAGCTTTTAAAAAATCTTTAACTTCAACTATTACAAACATTAGAAAAAGTAACCATTCAAAAATCTTTAACTTCAACTATTACAAACATTAGAAAAAGTAACCATTCAAAAATCTTTAACTTCAACTATTACAAACATTAGAAAAAGTAACCATTCAAAAATCTTTAACTTCAACTATTACAAACATTAGAAAAAGTAACCATTCAAACCTCAAAGACAAAATATAAACGGATAAAATTTCTGCAGATCAAATTTTCTACAGAGCTAAACTCTGAGGCATTGTAAAACTAAAATAGAATGTTAATATTTATGTTTTATTATAATCATGAATAAAAAGACTGGCTTTTAAACTGGATCAGATCAAACAAGACAATCATCTGGCACTCATCCATCTCAGCTCTAGTAGTTGTAACCATTGGAACCAAATTAGATACTCAATATAGATTTATTTAACAGCATTTGATATTCTTCTTATCAAAGCAGCACTAATCAACAATGTTCAAATTACTTACCAAAATTTGAATTCTAAGACTGGACCATGCCCACACAAACATTGCATGGCAACTAAAAAACATGTCAAATCTCTTTCAACTAGGAACATCTTTTATCAATAGTTTAAAATTAGCGTGTACCTTTTTTTTAAGAGTCTTTCGGAATCTTCTTTTCCTGACATTTTTTAAGGGTGGTGTGACTGTCAAAGTGTAAATGAAAAACATTTTAATGATGGAAAAATAGCACTGTATACAAATATATTCATGCATGCTAAACGTATTTACTTCCATGATTCCAGGCATACTTCTTGTCTTTGTCTTTTTTACGAGGACTTTCAGTTTCATCTTGTGTCCAATCCTCTTCTGTCTTACATAACAGCATCTGAGGAAGCAATTATGTGACCATACAAACATTTTTTCTGGTCACACTAGCTATAATCCTAATATATAAAAGATTATGTGCGCACTTCTCTCTCTGTCTGTCTGGATGGCCCAAGCCTAAGAGATCAGTACCTTCAGCCATATATGGAGAACTTAAAGATACGGACTTTTGTTGAAAATAATATGGTGGCTGTTTTAAATGTATAAATTAAATTTCATTTAAAGAAAGAAAATAAAAATAAAGCAATATTCGAATGTAGAAACACATTTTTAATTATGCAACCGGAAAAGTGTTTATTGTTGTGACAAGAACGCAATTAACAATGACGTCACATGATTAAACTACAGAAAGTACACAAAACTAATGGCGCCATCTTCTAATTATAGAATATGAAAAAAATGAACTTTCATTCAACTTTGATTTAGATGTAGATTCTATATATCTACTTATCAAGGCGTACGCCATGAAATGTAAACAATTTTCTGGGTCAAACTTATACAAATTACTTTAAAAAACCACATAATGACAATTGAATAGCCTGGTTTTTACCGGAATCATTTAAGTCTCTTAATCAGTTTGTGCTTTCAACATGGTGTTGTGTTGACTAATAATGTATATAATTTGGTTTTATTTTTCTAATAGGTATTGGTAGCTTATGTTATTTTAAATGTGTCGGCTTTTTAGCTATTTAGTTATTTCTTTGCTTTGTCACTAATATTGTTCAACGTGTAGTAAAGCACATGGCATTTTTACAAATAACTATTTTATAAACTATTTTTTCCAAATAAATATAATAGTAAAAATATATAGGTCTATACTATAAGTATAATTCACATGAAACGGGCACGCCTGGTTAGTATTTCATAAACGTCAAAGTCAGTAAAAAAAAACAGGAAAATTAAACTGTACTATCGTAAGAAATTTGAATAGTGTATTAAGTATTTTATTTCTACGTCTGTAGCTCAATTTCATCTAAAGGTTAGCTAATCCATTTAATTCTAGACTTGAATGGTCTCACATGTAATTTCAGTGATCCAAGTGTACCAAAACAAACAGGTTGAAACACGTACACGTAATTTACCTGACAAATGTCAGCTGTTTTGTAAAAGGTTTTCTTATCAACTGTTTTTAGAGATTCAACGATTGTAGGCAGATCAAGCAGCTGTTGAAATATAAAAAATTGATTTGAACATTTTCTATTTTGTCTCTCACTTGAATCATTTATTTGTTATAGTTGCCATAGTAAAGACATCCAACAAAAAGACCACCCTCATTTTAGATTATTGACAAACTTATATAATGGTTCCAACGATATATAGTCCTACAAGAGTAAAAATTGGTTATTAGTATTGTTGTACACTTACCATTTGGTATTTTTTTACCCTTTTGCAATAATGTCTGTTTTATTAAAACGTGTATGCTACATATATAGTTGACCCCAGTGTAGGTATAAATACCATGCTCTATTTACATGCTGGATGCGTTTTATATAAAAAAAAATTTAATGTTTGTTTTTAATGTTAAATTCTCATGGGCCAATTGGACCTGAACCCCTGCCCCCTTCCCCCAACCCCAGTACACTCCATCCACAAAAGTCAACTTCTTTAGACCCCCCCTCCCCCCATCCCCTGGTAAACATAAATGGATGATCCCATTTGTTTGGTGACAACAAGAAATAGGTCAAGGATAGGAGTTACGCTAGATTAGCATAGGTAATCCCTTGTGAGAAGATTCGAGCAAATGAAAAGACATATAGCCTGACTGATGGGGAAACTGAGATGGCCAGTGACAGAAAGTTGAGCAAAAGTTCACCTTACAAGTTGAGCAAAAGTTCACCTTACAAGTTGAGCAAAAGTTCACCTTACAAGTTGAGCAAAAGTTCACCTTACAAGTTGAGCAAAAGTTCACCTTACAAGTTGAGCAAAAGTTCACCTTAAAAGTTGAGCAAAAGTTCACCTTACAAGTTGAGCAAAAGTTCACCTTACAAGTTGAGCAAAAGTTCACCTTACAAGATGAGCAAAAGTTCACCTTACAAGTTGAGCAAAAGTTCACCTTACAAGTTGAGCAAAAGTTCACCTTACAAGTTGAGCAAAAGTTCACCTTACAAGTTGAGCAAAAGTTCACCTTACAAGTTGAGCAAAAGTTCACCTTACAAGTTGAGCAAAAGTTCACCTTACAAGTTGAGCAAAAGTTCACCTTACAAGTTGAGCAAAAGTTCACCTTGCAAGTTGAGCAAAAGTTCACCTTGCAAGTTGAGCAAAAGTTCACCTTGCAAGTTGAGCAAAAGTTCACCTTGCAAGTTGAGCAAAAGTTCACCTTGCAAGTTGAGCAAAAGTTCACCTTACAAGTTGAGCAAAAGTTCACCTTGCAAGTTGAGCAAAAGTTCACCTTACAAGTTGAGCAAAAGTTCACCTTACAAGTTGAGCAAAAGTTCACCTTACAAGTTGAGCTGAGAAGTTGGCTCTGTTAAGCAGGAGATAGCAGTAGGAGAAGGCAGTCAAAAATCAGAGTCAGGTAGTCAAGCAGTAGTGATGGAGGGAGATTGATGATAGTTGAGATTCTAGTAGGAAACAAATAGTTGATAGGAAACAGTGATTTAAAGAAAAGTAGATAGTGATGTGCTTGTTTTCTGTAAATAATCAATAAACTGTTAATGTTTTTAAATTTGGAATAGGTGTTGTCTGTTTATACTTTAGAAAGTAACAGGCAATCACCTGTCATCACAATTGGTGAATGTTTATTAATATATATTCCCTCTCACCACAAATATTTATTAATATATATTCCCTCTCAATACAAATATTTATTAATATATATTCCCTCTCTATACAAATATTTATTAATATATATTCCCTCTCACCACAAATATTTATTAATATATATTCCCTCTCACCACAAATATTTATTAATATATATTCCCTCTCAATACAAATATTTATTAATATATATTCCCTCTCACCACAAATATTTATTAATATATATTCCCTCTCACCACAAATATTTATTAATATATATTCCCTCTCAATACAAATATTTATTAATATATATTCCCTCTCACCACAAATATTTATTAATATACATTCCCTCTCAACTCTCACCACAAATATTTATTAATATATATTCCCTCTCAATACAAATATTTATTAATATATATTCCCTCTCACCACAAATCCATAGAACTACGGGGGGATCATTTTTTGGTAAGAATTTGTGTAATAGATTACTCTATGTACAGAAACTGTTTGGCTGATGCAAAAACAACTGTTCTTGATGAGTAAAATATTTTCTTTCTACCTTTTAACAAACTGAGAACTATACCTTAGCAAAAAAAATATCACCACCATATCTAACACGTCCATGCCTCATATCTGGATCCATTTCAATGCTAAGCTTATCCCTTAGCTGAACATTTGAGGATTCTTTAAGATCTTCGTGCAGTTGCAGCGCAGCATCCTACCATAAAGAATACAATCATTTTAAAATAAAAGATATAGCCTATACATTTATGTGCATAGGGGTCATCCATAAATGACGTCACACTTTTTTTGGACACTTTTTACCTCCCCCCCCCCCTCACCTCGGTCAAACGTCTTGTCAGAACTCTGTCAACATAGAGTATTTCAATCAATTTTTATTTCAATTTATTAAAACAGTTTTCTAAAACGCGAAATAATGTCTAAAATATGTTTTCTAACATTGTTTTTTTTTTAATAATGCAAAAGTGTGACGTCACAAAATCTGATACTTGTAAATATTGTAAGTATACAAGGAAACTGAAACAGGTGCTGAAGGGAGATAAATTGTTTTTCCCTGCCTTTTTCTTTCCAATTCGATTTATTAGTTTTTTGTATTAATTTTTTTTTTTAAACGAAACAAACTTTGACGAAATGGGACAGCGGAACAGGACACGATATTTTGCTAAAATGCCGAACAATTTCGCTTTTGGCGGGACGGTAGGCATGTCTGCATATGTATACATAGATGTGTTTTTTTTCACTTTGCCCTGCATAAAAAAGGTCAATAGGTCAAAGCTAGGCTGACTGACAATCAAGATCATCTAATAGACTTGAGTTCTGAACCTAGATTTATGAGATATGGTAAGCCACAATGTCTAATGATCTTTGTTCAATTTTTAGTATTTTAGCAATATTTTATATTTAAAATAGAAAAGTGCACAATCTTTCTAATCATGGTTTGAAAAAGTAGACCTAATAAGTTTATATATATTGCAACACTTGAAATGTGTCTACAGAAAGAAGACTGGGTACATCTTAGGCTGCCAGTGCAGACATGCCTACCCCTTTCAGCCAAAAGTAGGAACAGTCATGCCTAAAAAGAGGAATTTGTAGCCAAATAGAGGAACATACGCACGGAAGCTACTTTACTAAATCAAAAATAAAAATAATTAAATAAATATTACTCTAATGACATTAGTAGGCTTCTAGTCATATATAACTAGTCTCTAGGCTACATTTAAATACTGCTTATTAATGTAAATTTTTTTTTTAAAGTTAACCAGTAACCTAAGCCCCCCCCCCCCCTAATAAAAACCATAGCTGTGACATAACATTATTGATTTGATTATTTATGCCTTGCTATGTTCTAGGCTTTATTAATATGAATAATAAATGCTGAAGGCTTCATCATATGTAATATATAAGTTAAGAGCAAAGACCCTTGATCTACGAAGTAAAATTCCTAGTTACTTCTTACTAAGTTCTTCATAATAGTAGTTACTAGTTAAGTTACAACTTACAAGATAGATCAGTGCTCACTATTTCAGTATCAACTAGTAGATCTAGTTACAATTCTAGATCTAGTAGTAGTAGATATACTAGCTAGATCTAGTATTAGATGATACTTGTAAATATTGTAAGTAAACTAGGAAACAGAAATGTATGCCAAAGGGAGATAATCGTTTTTCCCTCCCTTTTTTCAATTCACTTTATTACCTTTCTTTAGTAAATTTTTTTTAAAAAAAAAAACGGAACAAACTTAGTCAAAATCGGAATGACGGAACAAATTACTTTTTTAGGTGAAAAAGCGGGATGGTTCCGATTTTGGCGGGACAGTAGTCATGTCTGGGCTGCACACCCACAAAAGTTTATGATGACTAAAGCTTTAGGTATTCTGATAGATTTATCTAAACTGAGCTTTGGTAAAATCAATAAATGTTATCTTAATTATTTTTTCTCTATAGGGCCTATATATAAAAATAAAAGTATGTTTGTTTGCTTTTTATCGATTATTACACCTTTTATGATACTGCCATGATACTTTGGAAAATCGATGAGAATAATTCTGGGAAGGTTTCCATGATTAAAAATAAATAATTCAAATTCAGTGGGGGGGTTAAGGGTTGGCATGGTCAAATCGGTAAAGCTCATGGTTGATAAACTGAACAGTCTTGAATTCGATCCCCTCAGGCAGATGAGGCTCAGCAGCTGGGGACAGCCATTCTTCAAGGAGAAACAACTCCGAAATTATGCAACTGCTGCCTTGTAGTTTGTTCTTGGTTGGACACAAATTAAAAAAGAAACGCAGGCTGATATTGGAGTCAACGGCCTAAATGGCGAATAACAAGTTGACAAGTATATTTAATTATGTTGGAGGGAATTTCTTCCAACACTAAAATTAAGAACGCAGAGAAGATGAAGGTTTAGCGCCAAGAGTTCCTCAGCAGATATCTCAGCACCTGGGATTTGTTGAGTTTTGACATCCTGAACAAGGGATCAGGGGAACTACTTCAGTGAGTCAACTGTCAAATCTGACCCCACCTGCTCCCCCCCCCCCCCCCATACACCACACCCCCAACCCTTATACATTGTTCCAGCATCGTTAATCATGTCTCTTTATTTGGATATGGCATTTATTTAGGCGAGACATGTTTTCACTCTCTAGTGAAATCCTATGTTCTGCTACTGTCTTTTTTGTCAAGTCTTTATCCACACTGTTGAAACGCATATTGTACCTGTAATTGTCTTTAATTTGTGTTGTGAGGATACTAACACTACCCGTTTTTTTACTATCTAATACTATGCATAAAACCTTACTGCAGCTATTTTCTTCTATTATTTTCTTTAGTTAGACAGCAGACGTGTCATGGAGTACTTGACTTTATCATCAGCCATAAATCTATATTTAATTTAGAAATTTAGAAATCTAGATAGTGAAATAAGCCAAAAAGAAATTCTTGATTAATCTAGAAATCTAGGTATACAAACCTGAGGTAACCTTAATATAAACTGTTGTTCTAAATCAAATGATTCTGGGTTACATGACAAAGGAGGCTCTTTCTTTTTTGTTTTACTTGACATTTTTTGTGATTCAGTTCAGTGTTCACCACGTTAAGGTCAAGGAACTAATCACTTAATCACTGAAAGAGTAAAACAATTTTACTTAGTAAAGAATAAAGAGTTTAGCCAAGTACTTGATCTATAGTCTAGTAGTAGTTACTAGATCTAAGTAAGTAGAGTTTAGTTAAAGTTTGTAGCATATACTTATAAGAATAAGTCATTCAAGTATTACTTAATAATAATAGTAGTAATATTAAGTAAGAAGTATTAAATTAGATCTAGATCTAGTCTCGTACTAAGTGTAGTGTAGTTTACTCGTAGACCTGCTTAAAAAGTAAGTCTAGAGTGACAATCTACTAAGAGCTAACTGTAACCACTATTAACGAACACATCACTGACTCACTAAATCAAAATCAGACAAAATCTAGATGTAACTCAAACAATGTAATGTTGAGTTTCGGTAACTAAAGTTATGGTAAACCATGGTTTATTTGACCATTGGGTAATCTATGGGTAATCTATTGTTTTAGGTACATTAAATCGGCCGAAGCTAGTAATGTGAAAAAAAGTTGCCTCATTGTTAAGGCTTTAACAGAAGTATATTGTAATATATTTGTGTCAAATATTATAGATACCTGAATAATAAACCAAAATCAATGGCTACATATATCAATATACGCCAGAAATTAACTTTAAACAGCAGTGTTTGCTTGCAAGATTTGCTAAATAAACAGCGACCATTTGTAAATTAGAGTAGTTTCCCCTGAATCTCGCACTTTAATCTTACAAAAAACTCAAACAAGATGGCAGCTAAAGTAAATGAGCTTGGTTGTGTCTGATGAAAACATCGCTATCGCTAGTCTTTATTTATTACTAAAAAGTTTTTATACTTATACAATTGTTTAAAAACAGGTACATGAATGAAACCTTGAAACATTTTTGTAACTTTCAAAGTAAGCATAAATCCTCCTGAAAATGTGAAATAATTACTAAAATGGTATGAGTCACCTTTTTTTCACATTACTAGTCTCGGACGATTTTACGTACCTAAAACGATAGATTAGCGACCATTGAAATATAAATAAAGTGAAAGTCGATTGAAGTAAATTAATGTTTTAATTTTTTAAGTTTAATCGACAAAAGGAAACAGGAATACATATAATAGTAGATTTAAATTAGTAGATCTAAAAATTATATAATACTATATAGGCCTATAAGCTAAATAATAAAATAATAAAGTCAAATATAATTTGTTTAACGTTTTTGGCTTGCAGCGGATTTGCGACCATTAAGTAATTACTACTAATTAGATCTAGATCTAGCTAGCTGCTAGGCCAATTAAAACAATATAGATTTTGAAAATAGTAAAAATGATTACAAAATGTACAAATGATTAGGCCTTACAAAAATTAAAATAGTACAAGTACAAGCGACTAGAAACAGTGTTCGTACCCTACTTTGAAAATGTTATACCATTCCGGAAAAATAACTGACGCTACACTAAGATTTTACCTGGGTAGAACTCCATTTTAGCGTATTGCCGTATTTTATTCGCTGCTTCACGTTCACCTCCGGTTGAGCGTACCACAGAAACACACAAAAACGTTAGGAAAACACTAGGATTAGATTAGAATAATTTAGAGATGATACTGAATCATGATGATATAGATTATTAGATTATATAGATTCTAGATCTACTTATTTTTTTAAGAATGTATTTAATTAGAAAAGGTAAAAATATTATAAGCATTAGGCTACAGTTCCAACAACCTAAAACGATAGATTACCAAAAAGTTAAATCTAGACTCTAGATTCCGATCTAAAAATACAAATAGTTGGCCTACACATTCAATATTCCAAATTTTCTCAAGTTTTGACAAAATTAATTTAAAAAACTAAAGTAAAGGCCAACATAAAAAAATAAATATTAATAAAGAAATAGGCCTAGTGTTTTTCTAACTTAGATCTAGTTGTTGTGGGTTTCTGAATAAAATACGCTCAACTGGAGGTGAACATGAAGCGGGGAATAAAAAACGCTGTAATCGATCGTTTTAGGTACGTAAAATCGCCTGCGATTAGTAATGTGAAGAACAGGCGACTCCTTAAATTTTAATAATTATTTCACATTTTGAGGAGGATTTATGTTTAGAAAAATACAAATGTTTCCTTGTTTCATTTATGTAGGCCTACCTGTTTTTAAAAGAGATTCTAGATCTAGACTAGATCTAGATATAGATCTAGATCTAGTAGTTTAGTAGCCATCTTGTTTAAGTTTTTTGGTGATTAGCTAGATTTCTAGAGATTCAGGGGAAACCACTCTAATTTACAGAAGACCACTGTTTTGTATCATACGCCGCTATTTAGTTGTTTTATTTTCTACTTTTCAGTAATTCATAATTTGTGAATTCGACAGTAACAATGCTGCCACTGAAAGTATTTGCTTTAACCCTTTATTTACAGAATTAGGTATGAAATTTCTTTCTTAAACAATGTATTTATCATATTGCTTTTGGCACATTTAAAGCATATGTCTTATATGTAACCCCCCCCCCCCCTCGAACGAAATGGAATTTATATAAAAAACATATACTTTTACTAGTGTCCGCCCTCACACCCCGGCAAATGTTGACCACCTTCCCCCCGAAAATTTCAAGTGCCCCCCCCCCCCCGGAGAAAAAAGTCTGGAAGAAACACTGATCTATTAGGGGTCATCCATTAATGACGTCACGCTATTTCTGACGATTTTTACATCCCCCCTCACCTCCGTCATACATCGTTACAAAAGGCCACCCCCCCCCTAAATGACGTCACACCTCAGTCTACAACCCCCCTCAAAATTGCAGTTGAATTTTTCTTAAAACATCGATATTTTTTCCAAAATCTTGTCTGAACTCTATCAAAATAGAGTATTTTAATTATTACAATTAATTAAAACAGCTTTCTAAAAAGCGAAATAACGTCTAAAATTCGTTTTCCAACATTGCTTTTTACTTTCTCGTATATACGAAGTATAGAGAAAGTCTTGTAATCGTGCAAAAAAAAAAAATCGAGATTTTTGCAAATCTCGACGTTTTACATCTCACTGATACGGAAAAACATAATTTTGCAATCTTGTCCGTATGTCTGTGTGTCTGTGTGTGTGTGTGTCCGTGTGTAAACACGATAACTTGAGTACCGTTACAGCTAGGTTGATGAAATTTCATATACAAGTATTTTATCAAAATCGTAGATCCGTATCAACTTTTGAGCGATTTCCGATAACCGGAAGTGGTACTTTTTCTACTTTGAATTTTTCAAAAGCCTATAACTTGAGTACTATTTCAGATAGATAAATGAAATTTCACATGTAAGTAAAAGATCTAATTCTCTACATTCTGTTAAATTTTGAGTAATTTCCGTTGACCGGAAGTAGTAATTTACGCTACTTCCGATTTCTCAAAAAACTAATGTAAATTTCTAAAGTACTAATAATATTGCGCACTATTATGCGCTTTTTTTATTTCGCGTTCACTTGGTGTGCAATTAATTTGTCTACGAGATTTTATTCTATTTTTAAAACTTTAAGTATTTAAAATGGATTAAAAATCATGTCTATAGCCCGAGTTCCCATCCCCTGTTATTTTATATAAAAATATTCGAGAAAGTTTAGGGGAGATCACTCCCGGTTTATTTTATAATCATAATGCAAAAGTGTTACGTCGCACAATCTGAACCACCACCCCCCTCTCCCTCATCACACACCGTCACAAAATTACGGACCCCCCCCTCCCCTAGGAGTGTGACGTCATATATGGATGACCCCCTTAGGCTAAAGAGTCATTCAGCCAAGTTTATTGTTCGGCCCTTTTCAGTTTTCCTCCTAGATCTAGTCTAGATCTAGTCTAGGATCTAAAAATAAAATCCAGTACAGAACTCTTTTGTGTGTGTAGTATAAAAGTGCTTGGTCCTCAAAATGTAAATAAATAGTTAAAGGCAGTCAATAGTAGTTGTTACTAATCTAGACCTAATCACGTCACCACATTTAAGACGAAAACAAACAGAGCGAAACCTAAATAAAACATTTTAACATACAGATCGAATGACTGGTAAACTACCATATATCTAGGGTGAGATCTAGATATATATTTACTTACTTTTTGTTGTTAATGTTTGTAGATCTAGCTAGTAGCTAGGTAGTAGAATAGTAGAATCTAGTAGTAGTGTTGTACTGTGTAGTAGGCCAAGTGGCAATATTAGTAGGGCCTACCTACGAATTTCGATCAATTTTACTAAAATAGTAAAAATACTAAAATTGAATAGCTAAATTTTTTTAGCTTGAATCTAGTCTAGATCTAGATCTAGATCTATTCAAAATCAATCTTAGTAAGTTCTTAGCCTGGGCCTATCTATACTATAAACTATATCTAAGTATAATAATATTAGGTAATCTATCGTTTTGGGTACGTAAAATCGCCCGCGGCTATTTATGTACGAAAACGTTACCTCATTGTCAAGGCTTTAATAGAAGTATATTGTCATACTTTTGTGTCAAATATTATAGATAAATGAATAATAAACCTAAATCAATGGCTAAATATATCGATATAGGCCAGAAATTAACTTTAAACAGCAGTGTCTGAGAGCAAGATTTGCTATATAAACAGCAGCCATTTGTAAAATAGAGTGGCTTCCCCCTGAATCTGGCGCTAAAGCTTATAAAAATAAAACTTAGACAAGATGGCTGCTATAGTAAATGAGCATGGTTGCATCTGTTGGAAACATCGCTAGTCTTCATTTATTACGGAAAAGTTTTAATTCAATTGTTTAAAAACAGGTACATAAATGAATCAAGGAAACATTTTTGAATTTTTAAAACATAAATCCTCCTCAAAATGTGAAATAATTATTAAAATTTAAGGAGTCACCTGTTTTTCACATTACAAATCGCGGGCGATTTTACGTACCCAAAACGATAGATTACCTAATATTATTATTAAACTTATAGATCTAGGCCTAATTATTAATTAACTATTATTATTTATTAAGTTAATAGTATTACTATTAACTAATCATAATCTCAAAATATAATATAACAAACAACTTTTGATGTTGTTTCAGATTAAAAAACAACTAAACAAACATTAGTCATTAGTTAGATCTAGTAGTTAGACTTAGATAATAATAGATATTAAAGATATTTACTATTTAGGCCTATTATTTAAATATCTAGTAGATAGGCTAGATACATTTCTTTTTCAAAACATGCAAAATTGAAAATCTAAACCTGAGTTTGGGACTTTTTTAGGTCCAAGCATCTGAGTCAGCTTGAGTAAGTAACCTTTGCTTAAATATTTATTATTTTAACCCTCTTAAGACGTAGCTTTTTTAGAGAGCCGGTGCTAAGAAGACGGAGCCTACTTTCAAGTTTTGCACTTGTATCACAAAAAAATTTTGAAAAAAATAAACCTATTATTTTACATGCATAAAAATATATATTATTTATTAGGAAATTGAATGAGCTAATATGATTTTTATCAATCTAATAAAAATCTCAACATATATATATGTGAGCTTTCTGATTTGCATAATTTATGCACGAAAAAAATTTGACTGCACTAAATTACAGTAAATTTGTATAAAAATACGTTTTTTCTCTCTGTAATGCTAATCTAAATAATACACAAACATCTATTCAATAATCTGAACTAATTTACTGATTATTATTTCTACATTAGAATTTCTAAGTATATTTTTAGTATATTTTGAAGACTGGACTGTTGGACATAAGAAAATTTACGATAGGACTCACGGAACTAAAAAAAAAGATAAAAAACAAAAAAAATGAGGCAAACTTTCAATGGAAGTCGCCATTGAAGTGCTAGATAGTTACTATAACAGTTAGAAGCAATCTGATTGGCTGATATGATACTAGAAAGCCAATCATGTGGCTTCTACTATCACGGGTGAGACCCGGCCGATAGATCGGCCGGTCGTCTTTTTGGCTATAAAACCGGCGGCCGATAGATCGGCCCGGGCGTCTCAAGAGGGTTAATTAATTTTATGAGGAACCAATGGAGTATTTGTTAAAGTTTGGTAAAACCTTGGTTTAGTTGTGTAAATTTGTCCAAATAGTTTCTTAAAGCTATTAATGTACGGTAATAATTAATGAATATTGCTTACTTTAATTTGGCTATGGATCTCTATTTATTTAATGGTTGTCTTGTTTAATGTAAATAGTAGTTTTCTCTTTTTACTTTCTCGCGTACAGAGTATAAAGAAAGTACTGTAATATTGCAAAAAATTAAAATAAATATTTTCACAAATCTTGTCGTATTAGACTTCACTGAGTCGGAAAAACTTAATTTTGCAATCTTGGCTGTGTGTCTGTAAATACGATAACTTGAGTACCGTTACAGCTAGGTTGATGAAATTCTGTATTTGTAGTTCTGTATAAACTTTTCAGCGATTTCCTTTAACTTGAAGTAGAGTTTATTCTACTTTCATTTTTTTAAAAGCCTCTAACTAAAAGTCAAACTTGAGTACTGTTTCTGATAGATAACTGAAATCTCATATATAAGTAAAAGATATAATTCTCTGTTTACTTTCAAATTTTGAGTAATTTCCAGTGACCGGAAGTAGTACTTTACACTGTTTCCAATTTCTCAAAAACGCATATGAATTTATAAAGTAATAATGTTCTGCACTATTAAACACACATTGTTTGCTCTTCACTTGGTGTGCAAATCTTTTTTTTTCAAGAGATTTTATTCTATTCCTTAAAGTTTTTAGTATTGAAACATTAATAAAAAATCATGACTATATCCCATGTTGCCATCCTGCGTAGTGTTGTATATTGTATATTAGTATAAGAAAATTCAAGTAAATTTAGGGGAGATCACGCCCGCTTTATAAAAAATATAATTGAAATGAATAACTTATATGGTACAACCAAGACCATAAAAACTATTGAGAGGTTGAACTTTTTGCTGTAATTTAATCAATATTAGGTCGCCTATAAATGACACAGGGTGCTAAGAGAGTTAGCACAGTGTGCACTTTTAAGGATTGAAAATAATGAAGACCATTGTTTTTTTTTAAGAGAAATGATGATTTAGGGTGGAGGGAGTTGGTGATGTCATTTTAAACAGGGATCAGGCTTTTTGAGAAAACTGGGGAGGGGTGTTGCAGAAAAACCAGCTGTCAGAGGCGTAGCGAGGGGGTGGGGGCGGGGGTACATATGTCCCCGGGCGCAGACCTTAGGGGGCGCCAAAATGGTTTGGAAAAACAAATTAAAATCTCATTTTAGCTG